AGAGATATGGTCCGAGCGTCCGAGGTGGGGGCGGGGTGTGGCCTTGTATGTACCACGTATGTTACTGTAAACATAATCCAGAGTGTTCTTGCCCCGAGTGGGAATGTTCACATGTTGGTAATATTTGGGAAGTACAGTCCGTAAATTGCACTGATTAAAGTCACCTGCAGCGATAAATACCCAAGTCTTAATGCTATCACCACACTGTTATCCTGAGGCCAGGTGTTGTGTGAAAACAGCATTTGCAGTCTCACTGGATAAAAGAAAAGAACAGACATTCATACTTTGGTAGTAAAACCCTGCAGTGAACTGCGCTCATGTTCAGAGGGTGTTTTCTTCATAGAAGCAGCAGTGCGGTCTCCCCGGTGTACAGAGCGGGTCTCTAGCTAAATCGCAGAATCTGGGACTTTGTCAGAAAGCCAAGTCTCGGTGAGAATTATAACACAACATTCTCTTATTTCCCGTTGTGTTGTAATCATAGCCCTTAGCTCATCCAATTTGTTTTCCAGAGGCTGTACATTAGCTAGGAAGAGGCTGGGTAGTGGCAATCGGGTAGCATGGAACCTAGCCTAGCATGGAGCCCTCCTCTCTTCCCCCAGTAAATTCCCAGTGGCTGTGTGAGTTGGCAATATCCAGCAATGTCTGTCTGTTGTATGTTAGCAGTGCATGACATTTGTACACTGCAGAAAGAGTAAAAAACACACAAAAAAGAAGAAAACAAAGAAAAACCCGGCATTTGAGAGTGGAACGGGCAAACACGTCTGACCTGTAACGCATCCAGAGGGCAGGAGTTCACGTTTTGATGAGATGTTTTTAAGATTAAATATTAGAGCCTAACATAAATCTCTACAGAGCCACTGTTTGTAAATACAGTAGTTCATGCATTTTACAGGTAGTTAGTGGAAAAAGTAGCAGCTATAATGGCTCTCACCACCATGTGTTTAATCAAAGGCTTCGTCCTAGGACCTGGCCTGAAGGAGTAACGCAAGGATCAAAGGTGAACAGTGGCCCAACCGAGGTCGAGCAATGTCAGGCGAAAGAGAGCGGGCCGGTTTATTGCTGCAGGTATCAGAGCAAAAGCCGCAGATCTGATAGATGTTTACTCCTTCAGGCACAGCACAAACTCTGGCTTTCTGCTGCTGTCTCTTCAATTTCAACCACAGTTGTGTGCCTTTAGAAGATTCCTGTTTTGTTTCTCAGTCAGGAGCCGAGTCTTGTACACTTGTGTTTCTGCCTTTGCTCTTCTTTGCATCATCTTACATAAACCTGTTCATCCTGGTTTCTCTCCATACATGTACCATTAGATAGCAATTTTTAAATATTGATTAAAGGAAAATATATTTCAGGCTTGAACCCGGCAAGACTAAAACACCATGTCTCTTTGGTTCATATAGAGTCATGTAATGTAATACAGTAATGAGATGTAGAATTACATGTGCTTCACTGGCACAGTAAATTGAAAATGCCCAGAGGTTCTACTAATGAGCATTGGCTCATTGCATTGATTCATTTTAGTCCAGTGAGAAAAGTGCTCAGGGAAGCAGGAGCTGTGTAAGGTGAATGATAAATTGGGATGTAACAGACACTTATTCTCATATGTTCAACAAGTCCTCCAAACCGCTGCCAGTGACTGAATATTTAATAAGTCATTACCTTCCAAACCACATGAGTGTGTTCCAATCTGACAATCATCTGTACATGGGATTTGTGTCAGGAGTGAGGATTTAGAGGACCCAAACGCAGACACAGGACAAAGTGGTAACAAGTTCAAGGCTTTAATAATAATAAGATGATGACGATGAGAGTGCAGATAACACAGGGAAACAATTCAGCCAGACAGGTAACAGACTAAGGGCTCTATTTTCCTGTCAACCCAATTTCTGTGTCCCTTCAAACTCAGTTGTTATGCAGTTTTAAATCCACAACTGATCTGTAAAAATTCACTCTTATAATTTATTGCAAAATTATCTGTATAATGAAATATTTGCAATCATTTAGAAAGATTATTTTTAAATACGATAAAATAGCCCTCAGTCTTGGTGCATGTCAGGAATCACAGATTAGACATCAAATCCATGTTAAAAATTAGTCATAGGCACACAAAATAGCATGAAAGCAGCTAAGATAAATAACGAATACCCTACACACGTCCTGATTAATCCTGTTTTGCAGCCGACCTCACTGTGGCTGCTGTCACTGTTACATTACAGTTTCTTCAAATGAACAAGTTTCACAAAGATATATCCTCGTTACTACCTTGGTGAGATAGGTTGTGTCAATATATGGTGGTTTGATCAACTTTGAAAGTAGGTGGAGATAAAGTAGGTGCCACATCCACTGGCTGTGTGTGCTGGTGGACCAAAATCAGTTTCTCCATGAACACAGTGATTACAACATGATTTTACTGTATTATTTTAAAAACAGTGAAACATTATTAAAGTTACGTGCTAATAACCATCATGCATGGTTAATTTAGGAATGCAGTACATAACTGGCAGGAGAAGAAGAAGATACAGGGAAAGAATCTTTCATATATTTCCTTGTCCTGACATCAGTGACATCAGTCAGCCAGGTTTCCATCCTGCTCTTTAAAGGGGATGAGAGGAGCTGGTTTGATAGGACAAGGCTATAGCCCCAACTCCTCCTGCTCACCATGGATTCTTCCCTGTAAAAATGTAAATGAGCCTTGTAACGCCTGGCTATGTACAAAAGTGTGCTACGTTTGTGGTCACTAAAATTGCTAAACATATTGCAAAAAACACTTATTCACCTAGCGCCTGGAGTTTAGACACCAGCTTAGCATTGCATCCTATTTCAAGGAAAACAGAGCCCTAAGGCTACCCAGGTAAGATATCTGACTAAGGAGCAACGGTACAATCAACAATAGAGACAGTGCTAACTAAAACTAAGAAGCAGACATAAATCAATGTGAGGGCCACAAGAATAGAGTAACAGGCAAAACAGACCAGCAACAAAGAACAGGTCACCAACAAGGTTTCTAGAAGAGAAACTAAGGTCCATAAATCAAAAATCCGAAAAGGCAAAAACAAATGAGGCCCATAAAATTTGTAGACAGGAAATTACATAACTAAAAATCCAGTAAAGACCATTTAGAGGTTACAGTGTCATTGAAAGCTATATTATGTTGAAGTTCTGAAATGCTAAAGTCTGTTATATAATGGTCACTCATTAAGCACTTAAATATGTGTATGCCCATCTGCAGCTCCAGTCGGACCAGGACCATGGCAATGGCTTAGTCAAGTATGTTCTCTCTGGCGAGGGGGCTGGCACCATCTTTGTCATCGACGAAAATAATGGCGACCTGCATGCCACTCGCCGCCTGGATCGTGAAGAAAAGGCTTTTTATATCCTAAAAGCCACAGTGGTCAACAAACGGACAGGTCAAAAGTTGGAGCCAGAGACTGAGTTCACCGTAAAACTCCACGACATCAATGATAATGAGCCTCAGTTTAACAAAGAGGTTTACACTGGCAGCGTACCTGAGAGGTCTGACATTGGTAAGGACTCTCACTGGACTTTTGCATTATGGGATGAGGAATTGGACTTTTTGGCCTTTTGATTGTTCTGTTTTTCTTTGAACTCTTATAATGTGAAGTACAATTCCAAAAAAGAAAAATTCAGGATGGTATGTAAAATCTAAATTAAAACTTATAGTGATTTGTAAATCATATGTGTCCTGTATTACACTGAAAACAATACAGCTGTGCATTATTTGATGTGATACCTCATCAATTTTATACTTTGTTCAAAACAAACACTCACTTCAATCCTGATGCTGAAACATGTTCCAAACAAAGTTGGGACGGTTACATTTCAGGGCCAATAATGAGGTAAAACAATGAAATGATGATTCCATTTGAAACGGGTGATGTCAACAGGTGACTGCATCATTATTTGGTACAAAAGTGGAATCCAGGAAAGGCCGAGCCCTTTAGGAGCAAAGATGGGCCAAGGACCGCCAGTTTGCCAACATACAGTATGAGTGAGAAAGTTGTTGAAATGTTTAAAAACAATATTCCTCAAAGAAAGATAGGAAGGGATTTGGATCTGTCACCCTCTACAGTGCAGAACATCATTAAAAGGTCTATAGAATCTGGAAGTGGATAAAGGACAAGAGCACAAGTCTAAGCTAGATGACCGTGCTCTCTGATCCCTCAGACGGCACTGAATCAAAAATCGTCACTCTTCTATAAGTGATATATCCACATAGGCTCAGGATGACTTTGGCACACCCGTGTCAAACACTACAATACATCGTTACATCTATGAATGACACTTAACACTGTACTGTGCCAAAAGGAAGCTCTATGTTGAGAGTGTCCAGAAGCGCAGTTGACTGCTGTGGGCTCGGAGGAAGGACCATCCAGACTGTTTGCAGCAATAAGTCCAAAACCCAGGGTCTGTCATGGTCTGGGGTTGTGTCAGTGCCCTTGGCAAAGGTAACTTCCGTTTCTTCAAGGTAACTTCAAGATGACATCTTTTCCAGGGACACCCATGCATATTTCAATAAGACAATGCAAAGCCTCATACTGCACATTACCAAGGCCTGGCTGTGGAGGAAAAGGGTGTGGAGGAAAAGGGTGTGAGTGCTGGACTGGCCTGTCTGCAGTCCTAACCTGTCCCCAATAGAGAATGCGTGGCACATTTTGAAACACAAATTGCATCAACAAAAACCCAGGACTGTTGCACCTTAAGATTTGTTTGCAGGAAGAATGGGTCAAAATGACACCTGACACTTAATCACTTGGTGTCCTCAGTCCCTAAACATCTTAAGTGTTGTGAAAAGGAACGGCAACATCACACCGTGGTAAATGCTTTACTGTCTCAACTTGTTTTGGAATGTGTTGCAGCATCAGGATTGAAGTGAGTGTAGAGTGAAGAATAAAACTGATGAGTTATCACATCAATTAATGTGCAGCTGTATTATTTTCAATGTAATACAGGGCACAGATGATTTACGCTTTATTTTCAGCATTAATTTTGATTTTACATAACGTCCCAATTTTTTTCTGATTTGGGGTTGTAATAGATTACTTTCTAATACACTTAATCTTTGTGGGGAAAGTTTATTTGTCAGTGATAATCACATGAATGTGTATCCCTCAGGTACGTCAGTCATCCAGGTGACAGCTACAGATGCTGATGACAGTATGTATGGGAACAGTGCCAAACTGGTCTACAGCATAAGCCAGGGACATCCATACTTCTCTGTGGACCCAAACACAGGTATGTATGAGAGAATCATCCTTTAGATCCTAGTCCCTCTGTTGTAGGTAGTGGTTATATACTGTATTATGGTAAATACATGTACCAAAACATTGTAGTACTATGATGCAAATCAACAAAAGTATTAAGTCTTGTAAATATAAGAATGTTTGAAGTCTTTATATCCAAACACACAGGGGCAAACCCTCAGAACTGTTGTGTGTTGTCACGAATCAGAAACCTGTAAAACATAATTTATAAAAGTGCTCCGTTTTATGGATTCAGGGCTCTTCTAAGCCACAAAACTACTGTCATCTGCAGTTCTTTGTCCAATAAGTTCACACACTTTGTGTGTTTCCATCCTCCCCTAAAACATTTTAATTAATCGACCAATAAATAGGCACAATACGGTTTTTATTTGTATTAGATAGCATCCTTTGAAATTTTTTGTATTTGTACTAAACTGATTTTTGTTTTGATGAAGAACATAATTTCAAGCAATAGACATTTTACCTACAGTATTGCAATTAGTAATGTATTGAGCAGTTGGATACTAGTCTCAAGTCAAGTAGAAGGTTAAAAATAATTCTCCCCTGAAACATTTGAATGTGAAATAGCAGCAGGACATTTGACTTAAAGCAGACTGACAGGTTGTCTCCGAACCAGAGGCTTGGTGCTTCAATTCCTGGTTTTTCCAGCCAACGTATCGAAGTATCCTTGAGCAAAACATTAAATCCCAAGTTGTTCTAGTGGCTGGTGTGTACTTATATATAAATAGGTGAGTGGACAAATAGTGTTAAAGTATGCTCATGTGAATTTATTTTCAGCAGGGGGGTCTGCCTGGTTTATGACCGGTTGCACACACACAATCTCTCATTCACAACATTTAGCTCTATTATTAACATGTAAATAACAAAGCAAGATGCCTTCATAGTTTACATGTGAAGGCTTGAAAACCTATCCCCAGCTCCTGTGAGCTCAGTGGTCCCAACACGGGCAGAGGCAGCGGTCTGCTGATTCCCACAGACCCTTCTGCAGCTTGCTCTCGCAGTGACTGGCTCTGCTGTGGTGCCGTTGCTAACGCTAGTGCTTTGAGTGAGTTGCAATGAATAGAAAAGCACTATACAAGTTCATTTATCACTCCTTTAAGCTAATGTTTGTGCTAAGCTAGGCAAAATATGTCACAGAACTCAGTGTACTGGGCACACAGAGGTGAAACTGATATTACCTTTTTCATATTTCTCTGTATAAGACACCAATCTAATATAAAATGCCAGACTTTAAATAAAAGCATGCACATTGTTTTAGAGTAAACTAAATAAAGTAACTTTACTTAACAAATGTAAATAAGATGACTCTGGAATAACTAGTTAAATTCATTTTGAAGTGATTCACTCAGTGAAGGGCTGTCAGACAGCTTCTTCAGAGAGAAAGGAGAAGTCTGGTTTAGTTGAAGAAAACAGAATAAGTTACAGTATTAAGTGACTCAGAGTTAAAGTTACCCCCATTTCTGGAACCGAAAACCCAGAGATGCCCTGAACTCAGGATTAACAGACTCCATGTTTTCACTTAACCCACTCTCTAGAATTCTGAAATCATTGCAAGTTTGGTTTGACATGCTTCCCAGTGAAAGGGTTAGGGTTAGGATTAGAAGAATCATTTGCGATGCAAGCTGGCACACATCAAATGCACAGTAATGACATGTGCTGTGGTTAACTGACCGAGGAAGCTTAAACTTGTTGGTAAACTAGGCTATAACCATGTCTCAGAAGGAAAAACTGCCTAGAAGAGCATTGTTTCAGCAGAAATACAGATGCGCTGCATGTCTCATTATTCCGACAAATCCATATGGCAGCCTGACATGATATTGTGTCGATTTAAATCTTGCATTATGTGCAGCTGTCTTTGTTGTTTTTTAAATGCTCAGAAATATGTTGCTGTCTTTTGCATTAGAGCCGATTCCAGTTGACTGGCGGAATCCTTAGTCGAGTACAGCCCCAGTTGTAACATTGCCTTGTAACTAACCCTGCTTATGTCAACAATGACAAGAAGTTGTTTCTTTGGATATGATCCATATTTTGCTGACCTGTGATGTTATTTTTGTTTGCCATCCTACTTTGTGGACCAAACATACATAATGTTTGACACACAGTCTCATTTCACATTAATATATAATCTGACATGTACATGGGTACCTAAAAGTTGATCAGTATATCTGTCATATAGGTCAATATTAGAAAATGCTGTATCGTTGGGAATTATACTTGTTTTAAAGAACATAGGATTATATTGAATGAATTTTGTTTGCACCAATTTATCAGACTTTTCTGTCCAGTGTTACAACTAACCCTCGGTCTGTTACAGTTAACAGACACACATCTGGTTACAATGGAACTGTACAAGAACTGTAGGTGCTAGAAACAAAGTTCAAGTGTTTCTTTGTAGCAGAGATGTGTTTCTTGTTTAAAAAGAAGATTATTCCAACTTAAATATTTTTTACATTTTTTGACAAAAACCAAAATGTGTTAAGTTGTACCCCGCACTCCCCTGTTTCCCACCAGTTCCAGTACACCAGTAACAATATTTAATTTGAGAAAACAGTGTGAATCATTTGTGTCTCAGGTAGTGGGAATATGTTGCTCTTTGTTGCAGCTCCGTATCTCATTTTAAGCTAATACATCTGTTTTCTTCTACCTCAAAAGCTGGAAAGAAGTACTAATGAAAAGTAAACACACAGTTCACCTTAGCCCTGCATATTAATGCTTCTAGTACACTGACAAAAGAAAAAAAGAAATGGATTTGTGGGAATGTTTGCTGTCAAAACATAAAACACAGCTCAGCGCGCCCTTTTCCTGATCTTATGTACTTTCTCTGTAAATAACACAGGCGGCCATCCATTTAAATAATCATCAGAGTAATCTCGCTCTATGTTTGTTTCTAACAAATAGAGGAGTCAGAGCCATGGTCAGACTACTGCTGCTGTGGATTAAGCAGCAATGATAGACCTGTTTTCTCATGCAGAAAGTGGAAAGTGAAGATGAACAAAAATGTTGAGGCAAAGTGCAAATTTGGCTTAAGAACTTAAGAATAGGCGCTTTATAGGAACAGGTCAACAGTATGGGAAATATTTAGTATTCGTGATTCTTTCATGCAGTAAAGTTGTAATCTATAAGATTTCAGTCTTTAATATTGCATTATACACTTTTTGAGCAGCTACTTTGTCAGAAAAACAGAAGAGCCAGTGGTGCATATATTTACAGCACAGCCAAATAAACTCTCTTTTTTTTTTTATATAGTAGTCAATCAACAATAATTACATGCTGCATGGCTTCAAGCTGCGCATAGTGTGAGTAGTTTTCCACACGGTAGTGGGACACAATGAAGCTGGTTTTCTTGCTGAATGTGTTCAGCCTGTGGCCTGCAGGTCTTCATCTACCAGCTCACTGTGGCTGCTACTGATGCTTCCATTTCTCCCTGAAATATTTAAAACTGGTCCACTCCCTAAAAGGGCAGAAAATGACTGCCATCTTGTTGTATTGGCACATTTTGATAAAAAACACCATTAGCGCTTACTACAGTGACAAATACATTGAGGCTTCTGTACAATAAATGCCACCCTGTGTGTTGCCAGTTGAACATGTTTAATGTTAAGAGGCAGCACTAGGAAATATTGGATGATTAGCAGTAATTTAATCCTCCTTTCAGAGAAAACAAAACCACTATATATGGTGAATACATATAATGGCCTGCACATATAGGTGCAGGCCATAAAGAGTATTAAAATCTGAGGGATTTTAACTTAATGTGTGGGTATATACTGAATGAACATCTGAATAGGAAAAAACATTTTAACCTGTTATTTTCTGAGATGTAACTTTGTTGTAGTTGGCCAAGTTAATTTTAAAACAGCCTAACATTTCACTTCAGAAACTACAAATTATCATAAGATAGATAGATAAAAATAGATAGATAGATAAAAATGGCCCTCTCTGCCAACAGGCTGCTGTTATTTGCCAATACATTTTTAAACAAATGTCTGTGATAGACTGGCAACCTGTCCAGGGTGTACCCCACCTCTCGCCCAGTGTCAGTTGGGATTGGCTCCAGCCCCCCATGCCCCTTAACACTTTTGTATTAACAAAGATCTGAGGTGTTTGGGAACATTTTCTGGAGACGGGCAGGTGTGAGATACATTGCATGGAAAATCTTGAAGTTTTATTCATGAACACAAATTATAGTATTCCAGGGTTATCTCCAGATCCAGTTCCCATAGTGGTTTCAGAGAGTTATATGTTGAAGAGTCTGACTACAGTAGCAAAGCATAAACCTCTGAGATCCTTCTTTTGAGACAACCTCTTCCAGTCCTGATCATTTCAGATGAATCCCACTTGTTTTCAAATGAGACTTTATGAAGTTTTGAATTTGAAGATATGTATAAAACTCTTTGTGAGGGATATCAAAATCACTCCTAATTTGTTTAAAGGTCTTCAAAGTGTCAGTGACCAGCAGGTCAGCAAGATCTAATATGCCCAGAGAAGTCCACTCCCACAGGCCAGTACCCCACATCTGAGCTGGGAGTAAGGGTTCCACATCATCGGGGAGCAAAATTTAATATTGGGGGAATTTTTAAATGTTTTTCACATCTCTCCATATCAGTAGAAATAATAATGTTGCTCTTAAAGGAATGTATCTCTAAATATCAGTTTAACAAATGGCAGGCTTTTCTATTAACCACCTACAAAAGAAACAAGAGCAAAATACATCTCTTATAGAGAATGTCACATTTATCTCACTATACGTTTTAAGAGGAAACTAAGATTTGGGATTGTTGTATGAGCTCGTGACATTTAGCATGTTAAAGGCACTGAAAAAATGAAGAGCAGAATTCAAGCAAAAGTATCTGTGTTAAATGTGTTCAGGCATGATCCGGACAGCCTTGGGTCCTGGTGACATGGACCGCGAGCAGAGGGAGCACTACCAGGTGGTGATCGAAGCCAAAGACATGGCTGGCCAAAGAGGAGGGCTCACAGGGACCACAGTGGTTAACATCACTCTCACTGATGTCAACGACAACCCTCCCCGCTTCGCTCAGAGTAAGTCAGTGGCAGTGAAGGAGGGCAGACTGCAACCAAATGATGAAACACAGAGTCACGCATGCATTAATTATGGAGTTCAGAAGCAGAAAAGGGCAGGATTACTGTGATGTTTTTCCATACCTTGTTAAATATGAACAATGTTTCCACTAGAATCAATTGCATGTAATCATGTCTGGTGAAGTTTCTCTCTGAAATTGTTTCAGTTAACCTTTAACATCTGCTGTTAACTTTAAATTGAAAAACACTTGCTTGGCAGCAAAATGAAGAGACAGAATGTTGAAGCACAAGAAGGACTGAAATGTCACCCTCAGGAATCAATAAAGTGTTGCATTCAAATGACAATAGCTCACGTTCTATTAAAATGAGCACTAGAGGGAATCATACAAAAACAACTTTAGCACACAACAGAACACCTCTAAAAGCTTTTTTTTTTTACTATTTATGAGAAAAAAGTCTGACTTTATGCATGTTGAAGGAGCAGCACACTGTGTATGGCAATCCTGACTATTGAGTGAGGAGCGATTGCTGGTTTTAATTACAGTTACTCATTACTTAAGGGGAAATGGAGCAAACAGTGTAAAGATGGTGCATGAGGGAGGGGATTTCTCTTTGCCGATTTCACTGATTCAGAGCATTTCAGATTCTGACAGCTGCAGAGTGTTTGATGTAATGTTAGTTCAAGTTGAATCAGCTGCTTTGCTGTCACTTCAGATTCTCAAAATCATAGGCATGGAAACAGACCACCGCCATTCTCAACGGGGATGCTGAAGTTCTGGAAGGAAAGCTGGTCGTAAATGCCCCCAGGAACTCCATCATCTCTTGAGTTGAGGACTGAGTACAGTTATCCAGTCCTGCAGGGGCAAGGGTTAAAATGCTTTCAGACAGTGGGGCAGTTGCTGCCACAGCCACAATTTTGGTGTAAGCATAACGTTCAGCAGCAGCAGCAGCAGCAAGGGGAGGGAAGGTGACTGCTATTTGCCGCTGCTGTCGGAGGTGATGAGGCTTTAACTTTTTCACCTTGCTGTTGCGGCTCGCTGTGTGACCTTGGTAACCGCAGATACCGACTGTATATCTTGGCATTAGCTGTGAACAGTGAATAGAAACAGTAATAGAGAAACATCTTCAAATATGGACCACTAAATAATGTTTTAATACTAGCGAGCAAAACTTGCTATATTAAGCATATTATATTAGTTTAGAGATTCTGTATGGTCTCCCTCGCCTGGGTCCATCAACTAGGCAGTTTGGGTGAGGGAGCCAAAACCCCCAAACTGCAAAGTGACAGATGACAATAGGGAATCCAAGGCAAGGCTCAGTGTTCAAGCTAAGACTGTTGTGGTTAGGATCACATACCTTTGGCTGGGGGATTAATGGAAGATCAGCACCCAAACGTTCAAATAATTTTCAAGATGAAGATGATTAGGGCTTGAATGGATAGACTTCAAGGTACTCTGGGTGGGAATAGCTGTTGAGATGAAGATGGTTTACGTTGGGGCTTTGAAATGAATATCTCCAGGATAGGATAACCTACTGGTAGTGGCAGTCATGAGTTTGAAAGTTGGGCTTAGTCAGTTCAAAAAAGTAGAGAGGTTTTCAACAAACTGATGGTATTTTTATTTTCCTCTCCCTCAGTAAATAGATTCAAAAGATGCATCGCATTATGAAAAAACCAGAATCTATAACTGCACCATTAAATCTGAACCAAAGGTTTCAGCTCACTTCTACCCCTTTTTTCTGCTCACAACATTGTTATGGATCAGTAAATCACTGTGCTCAGCTCATATGTCTGAGGCCAGAAATTGCTGCACTACAGATATAGCAGCAGACTTAATTAAGTTTCTAACTAACTCTATAACTCACCCTGTCCATCAGCGGGAGCACCATTCACTCCTAGCGTGTTGATCTGTTCGGAGTCCAGCCCGCTTGTGCGGGAGAAATGAAACACTTCTCCAGAAAACCATTTCACCAGCTGTATATGTCCTTCCAGGAGAATTTGTCCAAGTAACATTAATCCTTCCCGAAAGCCTTCCTAATTAATTAAACTTAATTAATCCTTAATCACAGGAACAATCTCATTGTAAACATGTGGGCTTTGTACCAAGAATCACAACCTCTCTCAAGACCCCTGCTGTAGTGTGTTAGTCCTGAAGAAAGCCAACAACAGCACTGTCTATTAATACAATGCTCTCAAAGTCTGCCCTCAAATTATAGTTTGGACTGCCACGTCTTAGAGCTGCAACTCATTCACATTTTCATTACTGTTTAATCTGTAAACTGTAGTTCAGAATAATCCATTGATTTCATCTATAAAATGTTCAGATTAACATCTTCAAATTACTTAGTCTAATAATCAGTCCAGAACCCAAAGATTTTCATTTTACAGTTGTCTGCTGTTCAATGCAAAAACAAGAAAAGTAAATAAATTACCTCATAACATTAACTTATAACATTTTGTAATGTCTGTTTCTAGAAGTAGAAAGATATCAGCAGCTGCATTTTCATCATCCAAAAGCTGAAATGAAAGCAGAGTGGTTCAAGACCCGTCAGGCCAGCAGAGCCATGTCCAATGCTAAATGCAGTGCTCTTGGAGGGGGACTCTAACAGATTATATTGCTTGAGAATGGCTAATGGCCGAACTGCAGAGGCCAGGGTATTTATTTTTAGTCAGGGTCAAGCCCTTACTAAAGGGCTAGTGCCTGATGTTTCATTAACCTGTCTGGTGAGTGTTCATAGTTATCAAAGTTCACACCCCAGGTTTTATAATGCAAGCTTTCTGTTCAGTCAGCTGAGATGAGCCTGATGACATCGTTACAGTAATGTCTTCAAACTTCGGAGCTCTCTCTTCAAAGCCACACAAGACATGAACCAACTGTTCAATGACTGAGTAGTATTCCTCATGACTAGTACACTAAACTTGGATGTCCTAACAATAAAATACCCTATGCTGCCTTCCCCCCACTTTCCCTGTAGAGACTAGAGATGGCCTCAGGGAGGGGAAAAATCTTTTGAATACTGATTTTGGCACTGATTCCCATGGCAGCAGATCCACTGTGGTCAGCTCTAATACACAAGTAAATACATTTATGGAGCCAGAATAGGTCTTTAATTAAAACTGGGGCTCAGAGTCAGAGCAGATTAGCCTGTCCAATTTTGCCATCTAATGTTCAAGCCTGGAACTTAATCTATGGGCCTTACTAAATGTGGGTTTAATTGCTGAATCTGGAATATGGAAAAATGCTACAACATGTGCTTGGTAGATGAGTTAAAGCTAATCCAGCAATTCAGATATAATTGTGCACAGAGAGTAGCATTGTCAGTAGTGAGCATAATGTTAACAGACTTAGAAATATCAAGTGGGTGTAGCCTGTTATGTCATACTAGTTCAAGGGCCATTTCACCAGAATGAAAAACAACATATTTTTGCCTATTGCTTCCCTAGTCAGCCATGCAGAAAGTTTTTGGTTACTCTGAATAATCCAGATCTTTCAGTAACACATTTCAGTGGAAGTACTTTTAGCTGTAAAAGTATTGCCTATAAAAATTTACAACATGCTCTGTGAATTAATCAGAGTAAAAACAGCTCTGTCTCCAGAAAAATGTCGTTGCTGATTTCGGTGTTCAGTGCTGTGAGCCAAGACGGTATCAGGGTAAAGCAGACAATTACCCTGAGGAATCTAGATAATCTGACGTTCCAAAGTTTTACTGTGTGGAAATGAGTTAGTGGTAATTTGTTAAGCTGCCAATTAGTTTGGCAGCATACTCTGCTAAAACACAATATAACTTGAAGTGACAAGGGCCCTAATGTTGGAGTACCAGCTGGTTTCTGGCTCATGTGCTAAATTATAATTAAGCCATCTGTATTGTTTTTGCAATCAATATCTCATACAGTATAAGAAGGCAACAGAATGCACGCACAATACAAATACAGTGAGAAAAACAGGGCCGAGGGGCCCACATTTTAAGTTTGCCCTGAGGCTGCAGAGCGAGGTAAATCAGCCCTGCTGTGAGTGTCTGAAACAAAATTATAATCACCTTCATCCTACTGGGGTGGTGGCAGAAACTGCAGAGACTGACCTCACAGCAGGAGCAAATAAAATCCAATATGTGTTTGGTTAGATATGACTATAAAGGACGGTGAGAAAAATATGTTGTGTATTTGTTCTTAGTATGAGGTTCAAAGTCTCGACCTCTGAAAAAGTAACTGAGAAAACAATGTGACCACAAAAAGTCCATTTAGAAACTGTTCTTGAGCATTCAGTCATATCACATGAGCTTCATCAGCAGATGGCTTTTGCCCAGTTGACATGGAACTACAGATTTTCAAATTTTGAGCACTCCTCATCAAATAACCATACATTAACACTTGAAGAAAGGCTCGTTTTTAATGCCTGTTTGCTGTAGTGGCTGCATGTGCTTCTTTTCATTTCAAAAGACAACAAAACATATTTGTTCCCATGAACCCAAAAATCTGCATACATCCCTGTAATCTGAGGTTAACATTAGGCCGTGTTCATTTTGTTGATGAATGGTCGGTTGAACCTCAGCTGTTTCAGCCTGGACATGGGCAAGAAGTCTTTAAAGAATAAAACTTAAATTGTTCACACTATGATGCATTGTCACTGTTCTAATTGTCAGGATAGGATATGTTGTTGCTGTGACTGTTCCTCAGCATCAGTCAGGGCCAGTTTCCTTGGTGCAGTTCACTTTAATTCAGTGCTAATCTCAGTTTAGTCCATGCAATATACTAGTTGAAGTTTCAGCATAGCAACATCTGCTGCAAAAATCATAGCTGTTCATCAAAAGTCTGTATCAGCATGTGGTAGTTTGTGTGTCCATCAGCCATGTGTGTAGTAGTCTAAAAGAAGTGAGTAAATTGCTGCTCTGTTGGCTTCGGCCAGTCATTCTCTTGCCTTGTCCTCATCTGTTGACATGGAGGCAGAACCTCCTCCCCTTTGCACTCTGGCTCTGTCTTTTTGTATCCATTTCTTCATTTTATA